TTGTCACGCGGTTTAACGTGAATCGCTGTCTCTCTTTCTCGTGTCGCCAATAGAAGCTCGAGCAATGAGAAGTGCCCCAAAAATTAAGAACTATCTTGTGGGAGGTTTTTAGCGAAATCCACCAAAATGTGGGTGTAATATAAGTATGCACCGACAAATGCAATGTGATAGCCGCCGACAAGATCTTACTGATGGTGGAGTCAAAACTTCAAACGCAAATTGGGGATGCACGGGACGTCGGAAGCGGGTACCGACGAAGGGAATGTGGTAGCCTTCGACAAGCTTATTGATGGTTGAGTCAAAAGTGGCTAATGGAATACTGATCTGCCACACAAAAATGCACTGAAGTCCCTTCGATCTCACACGAGGACTTTGACAATTTTTTCCTATCTTCTACAGTTTTGATCCGCTTGTTTTCAAACTGATGTTTTTGATTTTGTAAGTGCACACGACTCCTGGGTGACGGAAATTTTTTAACCGCCTTTTACAAGGCGCGGGTCTTAGAGGGGTAGTAGATTTCGGGCACCCAAAAGTTACCGTCCGCTGCGACTTTTGTCACGTGGTTTAAGGTTTCTTAAAGCCGAATTACGGCTTCCCTTTCACATGTTTCCGATAGAAACTCGAATGTTATATATTTCTCATGTTATTTACTTTCCATAGCAACATAAATAACATGGGAAATATATAACAATTCGGTGATAGTTCGAGGCCCGGGGCCGCGGTCTTGTGCCTCAACAAGCCGGTCGTGTCACAACCGGGAAGCAGCGCGGTGGAATCCCGGAAGGGCCGCTCAGCCGGAACGTGTATACTGTGGATCCTAAAAAGATGCACGCTGTCTGTGTTGTGAGTTTTAAGTTTGAATCAAAAAACGTATTTTTTCCCTTATATTGGTAGGTCTGGTGAGGTAGTGGGCCGGTTTATCAAAAACGCCCGAGTCATTTGGTAGGTCGAGTCCGGCCCTGTGTGGGAGTGTTTACATTTTTGAAACCAGAAAAAAATTCTCTAGCAAATGACACAAAAAGTAAAAATTACTTCCATAAGGAAAACAAAGTTGATGATGGTTAACCGGAGACGAAATGTCGGATTTAAAATTTAAAAATAGCATGTTGTAGAGGGAAAAAATTGACCATAATAACGTGTGTATTGATTTTGAATAAAAATTTTAAGTAACTTCAGTAAAAAATAAAAACGATGAAAAATAAGTTATGTCGAGTTACGTTTGGTATTTTTGTTTACATAAGAAATCGCACTTAAAGGCAAGTTCTAAAAATAACCACCAGAGGGCGTAACTGCCATCTTAAATTTTAAAATTGCATTTTCTTTAAATTTCGCATAATATAAACTAAACATTCTTTTTTCACATTTTTAAAGAGAATCAGTTTATCTATCATTTTCGTAAAAACAAAAAATCAGTTATTTCAAAAACAAAGATGGCGTGGGGCGTTCCATTGTTTTTGCAATAACCTGTTTTAACTTTTTTAACCGTTAAGAAATTTGGTATGGTTGAATAGAGCATTCCTTGGGCAATGATAATCAACCAAAATATAATTAATTTAGTTGAATCCTTCTCCGCCAGGGGGCTAGTTTCGACACTATGATCCAAAATCCTAAAAAAATCAAATGAAATGATATGACTTTTTCTTTATGAAAAAGTAGCCAAATAACACCCAAAGAGGCCAGTGAAAACCGTTTTTCAAAATCTCGTTCCTAACCTCAAATATTAGGCAAATGAGATTAATTAATAAAAATGCTTAAATTGTATCTTATTTGATGTATTTCCGGTATTTGTCGATGGCGCGAAAGATTGGTTGGAAAAGCTCTACACTTTTAGGTAGGCCTTGGAAAATTAAACAACAAAATTAAACATGATGCATTAGAAAATGATAACAGCCGTAATTTGTAAATTATTCTGCTGTGTTTACATTCAGAAAGTGGAGTTTTTTGAATTTGTAATTTTTTCTAAAATGCCGCTTTCAAACCAAGAAGCATTTAATATGCTGGCGGCGATGGTTCGTGGTTGATTCGGATAACGCAAATAGAAGATGTGGGCATCAGCGCATTTTGGCATTTTGAAAATACTCAAAATATATCGCCAGCATATTAAATGCTTCGTGGTTAGAAATCGGCATTTTAGAAAAGATTACAAATTCAAAAAACTGCACTTTATGGCTACTTTTTCATAAAGAAAAAGTTATATCACACCATTTGATTTATTTAGGATTTTGGATCATAGTGTCAAAACTAGCCCCCTGGCGCAGAAGGATTCAACTAAATTAACTATAGTTTGGTTGATTCTCATTGCCCAGGTAATGCTCTTTTCAACCATACCAAATTTGTTAAAATCGGTCAAACGGTTAAGAAATTAAAGCAGGTTATTGCAAAAACAATTGAACGCCCCACACCATCTTTGTTTTTGAGATAACTGAGTTTTTGTTTTATAAAAATGATAGATAAATTGGTTCTCTTTAAAAACGTGAACAATTTTTTTAGTTTATTACGCGAAATTTAAAGAAAATGCAATTTTAAAATTTAAGATGGCAGTTACGCCCTCTGGTCACTTTTAGAACTTGAAAATATTTTCCAGCGATTCTTCATGACCGATTTACCAATAATTTTTTTAACTCATATGACGAACGGTTCTCGAGATGTGGCCGAGGAACAATCTTATTGGGTCACTCGGTACAGCTAAGAATCCAACTGTATGAGGAGAAAATCTTGCTTTTGGGAGAGTGTCTTCAACAAATGGTAAGTATAAGGAAAGAATGTTTCCCATGGAAGCCTATTATTTTCCGATGTAGAAGTAGAATAAGGATATTCAATAACAAGTAGATCTTAGGTTTCTATTTGAAAAAATTAGTTGCCCTACACTCGACCCTTAAGCGATAGTTACCTATGTGTAAATGTGCATAGCATCGTTAAATAGGCTTCTGCATAAATAATTTTTTGATATCCCCTCTAGTTTCCGCAATAATTGATTGCCTCAAGATAAATGGGACATCCTGTATATATATATTAATTAAGTGACATTCAAATAAAAGATTACGGAACTGGTAGTCGCAACGTTTAGCGCAACACAAAAGAAAGGACCGGCGCTACACACCAATTTACCCTTTATTCAATTATGAATACCAGATTAGTTCGCGATATCGATAATTTTTTTGTGACACTTTCTTTCGTAAATACCTCGGGCCCTACGTTGTTGCGACTTCAAGCGCTTTTTCTTTAAAATTTGATTGTGTTTATTACCAATAATTCATTTATTGTCTACAGTCAAGCAATGTTGTTCCCAGTAGCCCCTGAGTATCTTGAAAAAAAAAAACAAAAAAAAAAAAAAAACTGTGAGAGTATAGTTATGGCTCTAGATGGACTGAGAAAGTGGCCATCATATACCGCCAACATGCGAGTTGGAAAATGCGCTAAAAAAAACAGTTATCGGACGCTGTGGCGTTAAAAACTAAGATATAAGTAAAGACGTTTTTTACTGCCTTACATCCTTTATATGCCTAACTTCTTAAAGAAATCATGTATTTAACTGAGTTGCTGGGCAAAAAATTTTTAGTGTTTTAATTCTGCCTTTTTTCCTCAGTTTTTTATTGTAATAAAATCTGCCACAATTTTTGTAAGTTGTACACAGAAAAAGAAGGTCTTTTGAATAATTTAGGTAATAAACATGTTAGGTTGTTATTTGAAAAAAGGTTCGATGCCGATGCGGTGTCACAAAATTTTTCTTAAAAATCCGACCCATAATTTTTCATTTCCGTACCTATGCCTAATAAACCCTCACGCAAAGCGAATTCAGTTATCTCTAATCGTTTAGCCGCTAGGGAGCGTTTCTCAAATTTAGTCGATTTCTTTAATGCCCCATAACTTATTCTTATTATAGATAATTAATTTTGGCAAAGTCGATCTTTCTGAGAGCACTTTTTTAGAATCAATTGCGATACAGTTTTTATATAGGGTGTTTGGTTTTTAATACGACCATGATCTACGCATTTTTTCATATGGACCAGCTTATATATTTTGGAGGTTTTGAAAAGAACAAAAAATTTTCTAAATTTTGATGTATCACTTGTTATATTTATTTTAAATGTTAATTATAATGGGCGATCAAAAATGAGTGGCGGACGAGTCGTCTTTGGAAGTTAAGTACGATATCCCTAGCGATATTCCGTGTAAAAATTGTGTATCGCAACGGATTCTACATAAAAAAGTGCTCTAAAAGAAAGATTTTGCCAAAATCAATTATTTTTAATAAAAAAGGTATGGGCGGGCATTAAAGAAATCGACTAACTTCGAGAAGCGCCCCCTAGCGGTCAAACGATCTAAAAAGACATCATGAAATTTTAATTTGTCCAAAAAACGGTGATCGGTGTGATCGCAATAATGCCCCCTTAGCTGGAGCTAGGAAGTTAAAAACTAAAATAATTGATTTTTCATGCCAAAGCTAAATTAATTCTAATTAGCAATTACGATTATTAATATGTTTCCTTGTGACATTAAATCAAAACCTAAAATCAATAAACAAATTATAGAACTACTGGTTAGGGGTATTCAGGAGTGCCTGTAGAAATCCAGATTCCTAAAATTTCGGAACAATTAAACATTTCCATGATTTTCATTGGCCAACAGTATTTTGTAACTTACGAACACATTTCTCCTGTATTAACCTTTCCAGTAATTAGTGTTGAAATTGGCCCCCTTATTTCCAAAATTGAGTTTAAAATAAGTAATTAATTGTCAGAACTACATATATCCCCAATTTATTACCAACTCTAATATGTTATGGGAGAAAGAGTTGCAAAAATGTAGTAATAAAGGGGCAAGTTCACTATTATAGCTTTTGAAAAAATACAATACCTACCTTTGGAAAGACTCATTTACAGTAGACTAAAATCCAAACGAATTCATTTTTTTGCTCTTTTGCAAAGAGTGGCTACTCTTTGTATACTGTATACAGGGCAAGGTAGTAGAATCTGGAACATTGAAGAAATTGAAAGAAATTTTAAAAGTGTAAACTGCAACTTTAATTTAGGACAATATACCGCATTTCTCATTTTTTATAATCGTTTTACAATTTCTAACAAAATTAAGATCATTGCACTTGTGCCTTATTTTGTTTTTAGGTACATTTTTTAAAATTGGAATTGATGGAGAGAAGCACATTTGTGACATATCAAAGGTTTTAAATATTTCATCCGCCGAAGCTCGACTAAGAACATTAGGTAAACCTTCAGTTGAAGCAGAAGTCCCGTGCGCAATACGTCTTGAATATTCTGAAACGGTAGGGTGATAATGACGATATAACAGACTTAACTCGTACAAAGCAGAATTGGATGCGTTACAGTATTCGGGATCGTTTAATTCAGGCTGATAGGAGCCATCGCCCCATGACGATTCCAAATCTAATAAAATGTCCATCGCAGTATTCGACTGTAAAAGGGATTTACAAATGGCCAAACAACTTAATGCCCCATCGTGAGATACTTGCAAGCTTAACGTTGCCAACCTCTTCAGAAAACTTGCCATCCGCTTTTGGGATATTTTCTTTTGACGTTTCACTAATGCGTATATGAGAGTATCTAAAACTACACTGAAGTCCTTGTAGGTATGTCCACAGTGAACAGTTAACAACTCTTCATATATATTAGAATAAAATCCCGCCGGATCAAAATTGAATACTTCCCCTTGTTGACAAAGAATAGCAAAAATTGTTTGAATGCATTTCTGCTTCTCCGTGTAAGCCATCCAATCCTCCTGTAGCAGATTGCCTAAAATAGCAATAAGATCCATATAAAACTCGATACTCAGGCAATGCGCGAACTGTGCGACCCCTTGTAAACATATGCCTACAATTTTCGTATTTGTAGAGTTTTTCAACACTTTAAAGAAAATTCCGAAAATGAATTTAGTTATTTCCGTGACATTCTTCTGTTTACCCTGTCTGCTCTCTTCAGCTTTCGCCTCCATTAGCGCCTTTTCCACTTCCTTCACGCGTGCAGCCCGTTTCTTTTCGTTTTTCGACAGTTTCAATATATTTCCCTTATGTGACTGTAATTTCTTCTGCTTCAATTTCTGAATCCTTTCGTTATCCATGTTGACTTCCTTAATTTTTAAAAAAAGCAGTACATCCAGCATTTCTGTGTGGATGACGAAATCAAATTTCTTGAGATAATGATTTATTAGTCTCACAATCTTCAGTGTTATTTCCGATTTTAAATCGTCACTAAATATTGTTTTGCACATTAATTTAACTTTCTCGCGAATCGCACTATTTGAATGGTTCAAAAAGGGGATTACAACTTGCGCTATATTTTCACTGTAGTTAAAATAAGGATGCGCCTGTAGTAACTCGGACAACGCATTCACAGATATCTCTCCCAATCTCAATTTCACGTTGTTAGACGTTGCAGTTCTACCTTGTTGTTTAATTAAAACGGATGAAAATATTGCTAAAAAGCGAAGAAACTTTTTATAACTTTGCAGAATTGTTGATTCAAATTTATTTAATTTTAACGTCTCCTTTTTTAATTTTACGGACTTATCAAGATCTTCCTTAAAACGATACGAAGGCAATAAATCTTTGAAGACTTCAACTAAAGACATAATAACCATTTTTTTAATTATTAACGAATCATTCACTTCATCTCTTTCAAGCATCTTGACTAAAATCCTTAAATTATCAATTTTCTCATTCGGGTCTTCTAAAATACTGGCACTCAAACTGCCAATTTGAATCTTTTTATCTCCTACAGTTTTACTCTGCCGTACCAATAGTTCTGCCGCCGTGATCGTTGTAGTAACCTTGGGCTCCTCTTCTACCTCGTTTTCTTCAACTTCGTCTTCACTGATCTGTGGCTCATCTGCTTCATTCGAGATTTCTTCCACTACAGGAACGATTCCCGTTTTGGTTTTAATTGGTAACAGATGTTTAGTAAGCGTGGTCTCTTCTTGTTGGTATAAATTCTCATACTCTTCTTCTAGCATGTCCCAATCTCCCACTTCGTGCTGGGTATCAAATTTAGAGGAGTAAAGTTCTTCGACAATCTTTTTATTTTCGTGTGAGAAGACCTTTGGTGTTAGAACTTCCTTCCCTGTTTCTTCTTTTTTCTTTTTCTTACTTTTTAATTGTTTATGTTTTGTGAGCATAAAATTTTTCTTTGGCGACTTTCCATCTTTGAACTTGGATTTCTGGTGCAGAGATTTTTTAGCAAAAGACTTTGATTGTGATTTCTTATTCTTAACTTTTAGAGAATGAGTTTTTTTAGCCATCGAAGTTGTGTAAAATGAGCTTTTAAACGTGAAAATGAGCAGAACTTTTTTTTAAGAAAATGAGGTTGGAAATTGTGGAAATTTTTTGGTTAAGTTTTAAGGACACTTTTTTTGGAAGTAACTAATGTACCACTAAGTGTTCCGATCGTGCGAGAGACGAGAAATGAGAAATTGAGAAGTCATTGCATCGTTAAACAATCAATCAATTTAAAATTTAAATTTACGAAATTGTTTTTTTGTTTTCTTTGAATCATCATATTTCAGGACATTACCTTGTGATGACATATCCCTACGGATAGGCAACAAACATTACGCGAGCTCAATTAAAGGAACCGGAGAACGTAATGGAAATAATGTAAATGAAGTTGTTCCTTGTTTAACAGGGTGTTGCCCTTTCGCTAAGCCCTTTTGGTCTTGTCGGAGGGGGCAATTGTCCCCTTTGCCTCCTGCTGAATCCGCCACTAATTGCAATGGCTTGGGAAATTGTCAGACTCTAGGGAAAGAAGTATTGATACCAAGGTGATGTCTTCATAACGGTAGCGGTAATGCGCATACGAGGTCAGATTTGGTACACGCGCTTCCTATAGAAAACCATTGTATTTTTTATAAATACAATGATAAAAATGTAGGTTATGGTTATATACCCATCGACATATAATGAATGGACTGCGCGTATCAATGATAAGCGCGGATACTTCAGGTGAGAGAGAAGGGAAAACTAAGAGGGCAAGCTGTCTCTTAAGGATACGCATCTGATTGGTTCTTTCAATGTAATTTGAATGCGATCGGGATCGCTTCTGTTAAAAGAACCAATCAGATGCGTAACCGTAAGAGACAGCTTGCCTTCTTAGTTTTACCATCTCTCTCACCTGCAGTATTCGTGGTTAGCATTGGCAGGCGCCAGTCCTGCATTCTGCTCTCCATTTGAGTGAAAGAGGAGCTCTAAGCTGTACCGTGCACGATGCCCTGTGTTTCTTTTAAGAAAGCTTCGAGCTCTGACGGGCCCGAAATTGAATTTCCCTTATCCCCTTATGCAGTCATGCACCACCTATTTGTTTGGGGTTTGAAACACTTTTGTGGTTATTTACGTACTGTGAATGTCAATTGAAATGTTTGCAAAATGAACAACTTGCAAAATGAGCTGCTCCAGAGCTTCACACGCACTCAAATGGAAAGCAGTAAATATCGTAAATTAGCTTAAATGTCATAACCGTTTGACGGATCAACGCAACGGATTATCGAAGAGCTATGAACCCATCTTGAGCCCCTAGGTGCTTCATGTATATACAGAGTGAAACATCACACAGTGAATTGATTGTTGCAGTTCCAAATGTCTACCACAACCTGTGTATAGACCCACGGCACCGCTCGAATAGCCACTGCCATATATCTTTAGTGGTTACCATATATACAGTGAGTTTTTTTTAATGCGAACATAGGAGTTTGCATGCAATGTAATTTCCCTATGTTCGATTTAAAAAAAACCACATCAATCTATGAGGTGTGCGCGGTTCACATTCCCAAATCGCGCAACTTGTGTGACTATGAACAGCAACTCTAATAGTCTTTATGATGAAGAGCACTCGGTAAGATTTTTTTAATGAAGCCATGTGAGGCCATAGCAACTTTAGGATACATTTTTCTTAAACTTAAGCTCAATTTACATTATACTTTTTTCGTCTAGAAACTTTGACTAGAACTGGTACTAGTACAACTTTTTAAAATTTTGACAATACAAATCAGAAAATTCCGTCCAAGTTTCTAATCTAGAAACTAGATCTGAAACTAGGTCCAGACCCATTTTCCATCCAACTTTCATACTTGTGACTTGCGCACTAGCACCAAATTAGAACAAATTCCGTGCTACCAACAACTTTATTTTTATACTCTTGAACATAACCTCAAATATAAGTCTCTTGAATTAGGTACATGTACATAGCAAAAATGAGTTTCTTTAGCTTGTTATTCATGTTTGTTTCCTAGCAATTTAAATTAACCTCAAAATGTACAATATTGAGATTTGTTTTCCGAAATTGGCAGCACTGCCATTGAAACACACGTCAATGCATCAAAAAGCGAGCTTTACGATAACTTTATCTCACAGGCCACGCACTGACACCACAACTCATTGTGAACCAACCTTCAATAATTTGGAGGTCATGTGTACCTGGTATTCTACTAATTTGATCTATTCAATACATAAATGAAGAAAATAAATAACGAAAACAATTACAATAAATGTTCGAAGTGTCCTCCTTGACATTCTAAGCAATAACCTAACCGATTTCGTAATTAAATTGGACGGTTGTATTTTTAAAAATGTGACAACTGTTAATTGTATCTACTACTCATTTGAACTATGATGTGTTTTTTTAAAAATCGAACATAGGGAAATTACATTGCATGCAAACTCCTATGTTCGCATTTAAAAAAAATTCACTGTATACTTCTCTTATAACGGGCGATCAAAAATGAGTTGCTGTCGAGTCACCTTTGGAAGTTTAAGTTAAGTACGATTTCCCATGTAAACAAAAATTCCAAAGGTCACTCGACATCAACTCATTTTTGATCGCATGGTATATATGGTGGTTACTGCATATATGTATATAAGAGATATGGGTTACTGGCTTGCTATTTTCCTTTTCATTTAGATTTTACATTTTAGAGGTTATTAATCATAACAAAATGGCATGTAAAACTCAAATTCAAATAGAAATGTATAAGAATAAAATCAGTCAAGGCACAATATGCGAAAGTATCAATTTGGACTCGAGTAATCTTTCAGATTATGTGAATGTTCTGCGTAGTGTTCAAAAAAGTGTTAATATGGAACTAACAAAGATCGTAGAACAAGATAGAATTGATCATGTTCCAATAGGTAATATTTTATTTTATTGCAGAATTTGAGTACATAAACCATGTAGTGTTCTTAAAATCGGTTCGTGGTTAACTGGCATTTTAGGCAACTGCAGCTACTCAGGGCCATGTATATGTCGTAGTCTTTTAGTGAAATCTGTCATTTCACGAAAAGCCTAGTCCGTGACCTAATCATTTAGTGAAACGCTTAAAATTTGTACGTGTGGGGTAGTTTCCCTTCCCCTTCTAGATCGATAAGGGATACCATTTATCGATCTCGTTCTTGAATGGGAAGGGAATCCAATCGCTTGGTCCTGGAAAGTAAACTGTGCCACAGTTTTATATAAATGACTAGGCGTTTCGTGAAATAACGGATTTCATTAAAAGACTACGATATATATAATATGTCTTAGTGAAATCCTTCATTTCACAAAAAGCCTAGTCATTTATTGAAATGCTGACAATTTGACATATGGGGTAGTTTCCCTTCCCCTTTTAGATCGATAAGGGGTAGCATTTATCCGTAGAAAGTGCCACATGACTAGGCATTTCATGAAATGACGCATTTAACTAAAGGACTAGCACATATACCTACAAATTTCAAAAGAAGTGTGTTGATGACAAAAAATTCCCCTTAATCCCTTAATGAGAATACAAACATGAAATAATTTTTAATCTCTGACCAATACCAACTCTGTAAGTGGTGTAGTTCCGGAGCCTTTGTGACTCAGGCAGACATCAAGAGCGAAAAAGTGCACCTTTTATTTTTTTACGTGATAGTGCAATAAAAATGTAAAAAGTGAAATTGTAAAGTTTCTAAGTAAAGAGTGTTTTAGATGGTCTTATATTCATACATGTACACCGAATAATTTTTCTTTTGTTCTGTAAACTATCTTTAGAATTTTTCAGAACTTAAAAACATACTCTCGTATTTCACATCAAAAAGTATGTTCAAGATTTTATCTTTTTTTTTTCAGATGAGGAAGATATCGAAGGCCTTGAAGATGATAGTGATGATGAAGTTACTAAATGCAACAGTAAAAGAAAATTATCATCTGAAAAGATTAAGAAAAAGGTTAAAAAGTAGGTCTGTAAATCATGTATCAGTTTAAATATAATAAACGCCATAACCAACATCGTTTCACTTAATATAGATCTAATACGCAACTGTGCTAATTTAATCAGTAACATTTAGATAATAACAGTAATCTGTTAAAGCGTTTGACTGTATGTAAACCATAAAATACTGTTGTCGAAGCTCGAAACCTGTGGTTTGCGAAGAGTATGTCTTAACGAATTATATGCTAAATAGGAAACAGTTTGTAAGTTATCATGGAGAGTGCTCTTCAAAAGAAATAATTGAACACTGTATTCCTCAAGGTAGCGTTCTCGGGCGATTCAAAAAATTGTGTGTGTTACCTGTTATGTCTGTATTACCTGTGTAATGAAAAAATAAATGTTTAATCTGAATGTATACGATTCAGTTTAAGAATAGGTCTTGGCGTTATATGAACTGCTGCCGTTTGCACTAATGGGTATGGTACCAATTGCTGGAAAGTCATTGTCAATTATGTTTAGCGCACTAAAGTCCTATTATTATTATTGCATTATTAAAAAAAGTTCGAACATGCAAGTCCAATATTTAATGGAGTGTATGCTGAATATTCCGATGAACTTTTTCACTTTTAGGTAGTTGTATCTTAAGTATTACATTTCTATCATGTTTGCAAAAAAATGTTTATATCAAAGAGGCAGCGTCATGTGATCAATTATCGCTACCTTTCTAAAAATTAATATGAAAACACTTAGAACACCGTGTATTATAAATGCAAGTACATTCAAAATATACAGGACTTTACAATTACATATGTAAAAAAAGGTAATCCACACCCTGAAATTAGTTCCGATACAAATCAGCAAACTTAATCTTGACAATAATGGGAAGGAAATGTCAAAAGCTAATTGGTAAACAAACAAAAGAAGGCTAATGTAATTTTAATTTGTAATTACTTTACAATTATGATCAAGAGCCACATAGCTGTTACTAATACGTAATAAAATAACAAATAAAAAAGTGAATATATTTTCCAGAATGTTTAATTTTCTCAAATCTAAATCTAAGGCGTAATACCTACAATAGACACATCTCATGGCATTGGTGCTTATGACTTCATTATTCAAATAAGAGTGCATAATTTTTAGATTTGACAAGAAACCGCTCTTACTCAAATAATAAAACGTACAATGAAATTCACAAATTAAAAATTGTATGAAAACTTAACCTAACGTGGTTTTTATGTACAGGTACTAATTAATTTATAAATTATCCGACGATTAAATTTAGTAGCCATATCCACTGCTATATCCGCTCCACTGATTATAGCTTCCGTAACTGCTTTGCGGATACTGCCAATTTTGGTACTGATACTGGTCGCCTTGTCCATATTGAGCGTAATTGTATTGTCCTTGTTGAGCACTGGAATATTGATTGTAAGCGCCCGAATTAGTCGAATTTGAATAGTTTCCGTAATTTCCATAGGAATTCGATTGAGATGACGGAAGAGGAGGATTTTTATCTTTCTTTGACAATGTCGTATCACTACAAAAAGACCAATTGCTATTTGGAAAAAGAACTAGTTTGAAATACTCACGCTTTGGACGTCTCTTTCTTTTTCATATCTTTTGTTAGTTTAGTGTATTTCTGATATTCTTCTTGTGCCTTTTGTACGGCTTGAATGTTGGAACCAAAATCTTCTAGGAATTCCAATTTCCTTTGGGCGAAAAGTACCTTTTGTTCGATGTCGATTCCTTCTTTCTCAAGAAATGCGTCAATAAGGGATAGAATGTCGGTTTCGGTGAATTCCTCTTTTTGTAATGTGAAGTCGATAAGCTGTAGATATAATCTTGCGTTGTTCAAATCTTTGGTGACGGCAGTATTTAACACCTCCATTGCTTTATCGAGGTCTTTTAAGACTTTCCAGTGGAAACGGGCAAATTTAATCGCCAAGTTGCTCGCGATAACTTTGTTCTTTGTGGTGCTCATGTAATGCTCGTATAGCTGGCAACATTTTTCATAATCGGCCCTCCTTCTTTCTAGGTTTATACGTCTGTAAGCAACCTAGAAATAGAATATTAATGTTAAAGAGTAGACTATTTCTGGTAACATGTACGTAGGTAAAAAATAATTTGATTTAAAAGCACAAAAAGATTTTGATACCAATAAGTATAGCACAGAAATAGCAACAGATGTAAAGGGATAAATTAAATGCAAGGGGTTTTAAAAGGTAATAATGCTGATAAACAGTATCAAATTCAATTCTCACATGGAAGCCTGCGCTCCTTTTAAATGCCACCCACTTAGAGGATTAGTAATATCGGCCAGGGGTCGAATTCGTAAAAATACAGGGTCATAGAAAAAGGTGGACTCAATATTAATTTAATTTTACCTCTCAATCTTCATAATATAGGATAGAACTAAATAAGTAAGTGTACTGCGACAAAGCTGAACCTAGGAAATAAAGTTTTTTCTACTCATATGGGTTAATGAATACATTAAACGTTGCAATTTTATGAAGTAAGAGTATAAATTCCTCACATTATTGGATAACAGCAGTGAGTAATAATTAATCACTGGGCATGGCTTTAAAAAAACTCACCGCAGCCAGCCAATGAGAAAGTTTCATAAAAAACAAACAATCAATCTGTCAATTTATCTGGTTGTAACTTCCCTTTGTATCGAAATATATGACTTGCCCAAATCTAAGAATTAGATTTAATAACATAAAAAACAAAAATGTGAATGCAAAATTGTATAATTGAAAATCAATATTAAATTAAATAAAAAATCCCATGCTAATTTAGACCGTTTTTAATATAAATTAAGTTGCTGAATTGAACTCAAAGGAAAAGATCACTGTATTACCGACGCATCGAATTTGAAAGTGTCAAGATGGATGGCGAAAATGAAAATAATTTAAGTTGTACGCCGCCAAATATAACAGAAACGGCAAAACAATTACCTATGTTTAAATTTATGGCCGGAAAAGTCTAAATATCTTAGATCGATCTAAGCTAAATATAAATATGAAAATTTGAATATTTAACTCCCATTTTCTCGACCTTAAAGACAACTAATTACAAAAGGATCTTCAAAGTGTAAAAATAGGAAGTGAGGTTAAGTATTCGTACAAATTCTGTTACTTCGTAAGTCGCATATGCCTGTTATTTTGTCGTAATTTTGGTGGTACCCGCATTATTCAATGTTTAGGCGATTAGCTATAATTACATATAGCAATAAACCCACAATTTAAACGATCAAATTTTAAGAAATGAGAACCGAAAGCTTGACAACCTTTTGACATCTCTGATATCATCTCAATTGTCACACTGTCACAGTATGACCAACTTTCAATATTTATAAAAAAACTCAACTGCAATTGGTTTGGTAACAAACGATAAGTTTGAATATTTTCATTAAATTTTGTCAAATATTCGTAGAAAAAGTATAGTATTCTATTCGCATGTAATGGCTATTACTCATTCGAAAGAATTCTCATGAGTAATAGCCACCATTACATGCTCATGGAATAATATACTATTTTAAGACTCCAGATAGTTGAAAAGTAGGAATAATCTCAGTATTTAATGAAATCCTTAAATATGTGAAAAACATTCGAGAGTTGAAGAACATTGAAGAATCACAGACCAATTTTTGGAAAGGTCAAACAATACACAGAAAGGAAACACAAAAATATAGACTTACTTGAAGTAAATTAGGCACCGATTTCTCTAGGTTAACCAATATTTCAGCGGCCCGATTGAAGTTTTGAACCGATTCCTCAAACATGGCCCACTGTAAGTGCAGGTTTGGTTTCTTCAAATGGTGTATCGTGCAAGCTCTCTCGTAAACGTCTTTAATTTTGGGTTGTAAATTGGGGTCTTTCAATCCTTCCAGGTAAAGAACGAAACGTAACCAGAATTCTTCGTATAATGCGCACGCGATTAAACACCGTTCAAACAAAACAACGATCCTGACCTGGTCACCTTGTTCGACTTCGAAATCCAAGTAATCCTGCCAGTTCTTCAATTGGCATCGTTCCAAAGGCTTCACGTGGAAGTATGGCCGTTTGATCTGAAACGTAATTAATATGAAAATGTCGCCGTTATTATTGTACTACAAAACTTAAGTTAGTTTAAGTTTTCAGATGGCCCTTGCGATGTCTTCAGTAACATCAGAGTTATCTCTTGGTAACACAAGAGCTAACCACAGCAAGTGTATCATCATTTTGAGTTCTGGGTGCACTTCACCAACGAAAGTTTTAATACTTACACCTTCTTCAAAATTCCAGCGTGCTGTAACGGCATTAACTGTGTTTTTGTGAATCTTTCTACGGATCGATACTATCCTTTCTCGAATTACTTTTGTCTCTTCGTCTGTACTCTGCTAAAGAAAGTATGATTACATTAGTTATGGTTAATTCTACATACATAACGATAATACCTATATTGTATATTTAGTTATTAAAAGTTTAAATAAAACTTGAAACTGTAAGTAAAAATACAAAATTGAGTATTTCTTTCCCTGTCATCAAACATATAATTATTACAAATATTCTTGATACAATTTATACAGGGTGTTTCGAAATTCGCGCACACAGACTGTGGGATGGTGTTATACAACGAAAACTGAATAAAAAGTTCTTCTACCAGTTTTTGATCAGACCGGCACTTTTTTTTCGACGTGCTGAAGCTTGTTTACTAGCAGACGGCGGACATTTTGAACAACTGTTGTAATTACGTACTCGTCGTAATTATAGTTTATTTTGAACCTTCTTTTGTTTTTAAAAATGTGTTATTATTAAGTTTAACCAGTGGCGCAGCCTAGGGGGGGGCGGAGATTTTTAAAACCGCGGTAGCTCCAAAAATAGCGGTCTGATGGAAAACTGGTAGAGGAGCTTTTTGTTCAGTTTTTGTCGTATAACACCATCCCATGGTCCGTGTGCGCGAATTTCGAGACACCCTGTATTATTCAGGAACGCCTGAAGCTTGATTCTGTGCTAGAAATCAATAATTTTGTAAGACCGTGAGTCTGTCCTTTGATGCAGCCGTTATCAAGTTTGGTAGCAATTTGACCACAGTCTGTTCAGATTATTTTAATAAGATTAGGCTACAAAAAATTACTTATTTGTCTGTCATTCCAATGCATTCCTTGGGTAATACAGGGAGATCAATAATCATATGCTGCGCCGCTCTTATAAAATATCATATTAGTAATCATTTGCCGCAACCAGGTATATGTGTACCAATACAAAACAAAAACATAACCTATAATTCCGATTTGTGATTCTTAACTTTTGTCCATTTCAAAACGGCTTTTTTCAAGTCTACCAGTTTCTTTCGGATATTTACAAGGTGGGTAAATTACTTATAAATTATAAACAAACGTTTTTTTAGTTGTAGCGTGTAAAAGGTAATAAGTTTACTCCCGACATGCCTTTTACTTTAGAAGAGAATAAGATGCATTTGCAGTCCTGTTTCCGTAATGGGACTAAAGACGAAAATTGAGTTTGGCAGTAGGTACTCGATACGTTTGTGTATATAGGAGTTTCGAGAAACCTCTTGAGCAAATTCCGAAAAAGTCTCTACGACAAACGGGTATCTTATACCATACGGAACGTGTCACACTACTGTCTGGAGAAAGTTGTACTTTTATCGTTTAAAGTAACCGTGTTACAAGAATTCATCGTCCAGATTTACAAAGCCCTCTAAATTATTGCATGCAATTGGTTTAATGCAAATTTACAAGATTGCAACGTATTCGGAACCATTTACACACCATTGCCGAATTACGAGCAGGTATAAAAGCTGCCGTTTGAAACATTACGCAACTGTAGTTACATTCCGTCTTCGAAAACATGAAGAAAAGAGTGGATCCCTGTCTTAATAATGGTGGCGAGCACTTCGAACAGTTGTGATAGTGTGCATGTAATTTATCCAATTACTTCGATATTAACGAGTTGTAAAAGAAATAAAATATCGTTTCAATTTTTGTAATAATTTACTATTTGTGTAGTTTCACATAATTTGGAAATTCACAAGGTGCTTAAATCGTTGATTTAGATTAAATATGGTTAAACGTCAAAAGTTTACTTTGGTTTGAAGTTTAAGGTTATGTTTTAGTATTGGTGCACCACGCCTGTTGCGGCAAATGATTACTAACGTCATAATTTATTGAAGCGGCGCAGCAACTCATTATTGATCGCACTGTATCTTTGAGCAAAAGATTTTCCAAATGACAAAAGCTTGAATTCTTTCATTTATTGTATTGGTGTAAACTGCCATTTGACTATTCTGGAACGCCTGTACGCTTTCTAATTGCCAAGGCACCTAGTCCCTCCCATGGCGCATTTATTATAAAATGTTTCTATTGCAAATCAACAAGAGTTCATTTCCAATTAATAATAATAATAATAAAGTCTTTTATTAAATCATGCCAGACACAGACAAAGAATAAATTTAATTAACTCTTACGATGTCGTTAATTTACCTTGTCTCTAAAGTGTTGTGTGGTAATATCGAGGATTAACTAATAAAATAAACGGACGATATTAAAAAGTACAAATAGTATATTATATACCGCGGGACTGAAGTAGTACTTTTAATCCCGAAGGTAAAGTTTATGGCCCGACCGAAGGGAGGGCCATAATTTACCTGAGGGATTAAGACCACTACTTCAGTCGCAAGGTATATACGATATTTTTCGTACTTCTGAAACTGAAACACTTAATATGTATGGAGTTAGAGAACCCGTTCTTTCAAAAAATCGCTGCTTAGCAAGTTACCATAGGAACGTTGCGTTGGTACGACAATCCCTATGCTATGGTAACAAAAATAATTTGGAAACTGTCATTGCTAGTGTCATAATTTTGGTGGTGGGTGACAAAGGTGTATTTGATATTGATAAAAAGCAGCCAAACTAGGTAAAGAATTGATACCACCGAAATCCAAAAAAGTATATGAGCAGCAGTACGATACGTTAAAGAAGTGGTGCCGCATACAAAATGTGGAACAACCTACTGAAATTGCCTCGTTAGTAATTACATCCTTCCGGGATTTTCGTCTAAATTTAATCCCCGCGGGACAAAAAGTGACACTTCAGTACTTGTCATAACGGAGTGAAGTTGTCACTTTAGTCTCGGAAGTACGAAAATGTCTTTTTATATTTCAAAAACTTAACTTGTTTACTACTCGGTATCATAGATACACATTGTCATGGAATTCAATGTTTGCACCATTGAGTTAGAAAACTAATGGAGGGAATCAAATGCTTGGCCAGACGTAGACCACGGGAACCAAAAGTGGCCTCTAACTGTGATTAAAGTACCACACCACTTCCGTTATCATTAGCGTCTCACTTCAGTGGCGTAGAGATATAATTTTCTTTCCACTAATAGGAATAATAACATAAAAAAACGTATAGGAGTAAAATACATGCTCGTGGTAAAGTAAACAAAATAGACAAGGATGGGAAAGTATGCAGATTTAATTTAATCATTGATTACAAATCTAAATATACATCGATGTGTTCCAGTAGTATAATTAAGGCCAGTTTACTATAACCACTACAACTTGACAACTCCCATTAAATTCACTGTGTTGATCAATAGCTACAATTGATTGGTTGGTCTCAGGTTCATTACAAGTTTTGATAGTACCTACCTACTGCATATTTGACGAGATATTTGATGAAAATTTTCCGGTGCAACCTTTGGTCGAAATCACAGTCAATGAAGCGTGTGAGCACAAAAGTAAATTTCGAGAGCTGTTCTTGAGATATATTTACAAGTGTTAGGTAACCATTTTGCTCGAAGTACCGGTTCGTTTGGAAAACTAAGAATCATAAACTAGGTACCTACAACCTCGCCTACAACATGATAAATGACGATGTCTTACCGATGAAAGGAAATGCCATGTTTCTTCCCTTTATGAGAAATTTTGCATGATACGCAGCTAATCATTCTCAATTCACAAAATTGCCTGTGATAAAAACACTATGCGGCAGTTAGTTATTTATATAAACCAGAGCACAACACCGATCCGAAATTATTAGGTACTTTAAAATGGCAAATTTAATAAAATTTGAATTTGGTGGAAAACTGAGAGTGACAGGACCCGCGTTTTCATATGTCAAATAATGTCGGCCAAAATGTACCTTTACGGGAACCTATCCACGCGAGTGGCCTCTATCTGTGGCAACTTCCGTCTACAAAAATTCTTACCCCCTCCACCATTATATTCACTCCATTAGTTTTCTAACTCAATGGTTTGCACACTTCAACAGTCTCTGTGCTACTTGAAATAAAAGAACTAGCAGATGACGACCTCTAAAATTGTAACCTCAGATACCTCAAGACACAATGTAAAATGTAAGGTCCTAACACTATCATCTAGGAGGTCTGAGTCTGGGAGAAGGTGAGTGATATAATAATCAACGTTTATTATCCCTGTCTCACTTGTTCGTGAGATATTCAGATTCGAAGTTTTGGCCACACAGATGGATACATTGTGCTCCTGCCCTAACTCAGTGATGGATATTTGTACTTTACAATTTTTGAGTGCCGCTTTATATTTTTCCTGTGTGTGCTTATCTTCAAACACAGCGCCATCTACTACCTCCTTATAATGAATACAGTATAATAATTTTACAGTTGATGTTTTTAGCTTTTCCCAATATTGTCCAGTTTTCAAGTTGTAGCACAAAGTTATTCTTTTTCAAATGAAACATGAGGTCTGGCTATTAAATAACAAGACTGCGCGCGCAGAAGCCACCCTAGGAGAGTAGTGGGGCAAACGAATGTCGTGTTATCTAGCCCTAAGTCTCTACTACTCCAGTACGAAAACAGTTTAGGTAGCTGTCGTAGTATTTTTGCTATAGAGGTTAGAAATGAACGTGTTTTTTTCTCATGCTAAAGGCCGAGAGAGCAATCGAAGACGACCAACGTCCACAAACAGTGACCAAAGTCAATAAAATTGTGTGCGGAGATGATTGATGACTGTACAGGGTGGTTCAAATTTGTGGCTCACCATTATAATTTTCGCAACAGTGAGAGATACAGTGTAGTTTAAATGGGGGCAAAGTTACCCCTTGGTGACTAAAAAAACAACGCAATCGAAATTTTCGAAAAATCTTTTAAAACAGTTGAGATATCACTGAAAAAGTCAAATATCTTTTTCATTTTCCCTAGCTTAAACGGTTGGAAATGGACGGGTCCCGTTAGTACCTTCCATGAGCAATTTTTTTTCGAAAATCTACAAGTCCTATTTAAAAAAAATTACAAAAAATGGGCGTGTCTAATGAAGTCATTTATTATTATTATTATTTAAAAAAAAGGCAAAGTCCATTTAAAAAAACGGTAGCATTCCGATGAAAAATGAAATAATAAAACATAAAATAAACGTAGCATTCCGATAAAATTCTGGAATGATAACAAATACAGACAGCATTTCGAAGTCCAGAATAATTTTAAAAAAACTAAAAGAACAGGGGATAATAATCACATTTTACAAAAAGTATTCCAGGATTAAAAAAAAAAGAAAAAAAGGGCATTCTGGAATGATTAAAAAAACATTTCGATGATTTCGCAATGATAAAAACATTGTGGTTGTTTGGGAATGATAGAAAACATTCTGCGGTAAAAAGGATTCCGGAATGAATGAAAAAAACATTCCGATGATTCCAAATGACTGTACCATTCAATACAACGTACTACTACAGATATAGTCATTAAACTAACAACTGCTTGTAGCTAAGGTCTGACGATGGTTATGAAACAAACCGAAATCGATAGCCAAAAACAGAAAAACAAAACTTTATTAGTTTCATTCATACAATCTATGGTTATTATTATGACCTAAAATGTTAATAATGAAAATTTGAAAAGTTATGATTTTCGTTTGCGAAAAAGACAGGTTATACTAAAACAGCAAAACAGTTCTACAAAAATTTTTATCGCATTTTTTAAGAATTAAAAAAAATTGCTATTGTTTGCGTTTTGTCCGTCCGTCCGGACCCACTTCTACCGTTTTGAACTACTTCTAGGGGAATGGTCCTAGAGTCCTGGAATTTTTTGCAGTAGGTAGCCTATACCTTGAAGGTGTGCCAGACGACCATCAAATTTCGCTGTCTAAAAGGGGCCCCCTCCCACGAATTATTTCCTGAGATGCTGTTTTTGAAAGTAAAACGTGCATAACTTTTACATACGACAACCAATTGGTCTCCGATTTTGCATACGCATGCCTTTAGTGGTGCCAAGTTAAACTTTAGAAAATTTAGGGGGTAGGGGGTAAACACATGTTCTACCCTTCATTGTATTCTAATGAAAGGTCTCGTCGAAATAAATTGATTTGTACAAACTATAACTTTCCCGAATCCCGTGGGACTCTGTTTCGAGATCAGTGCGCGACGGAGCCTGAGAGGGGTGGAGGGTTAAAAATTAATTTGATCTCTAATTGTATTCTAATTAAAGGTCTCAACGAAAGGAACAGTTTTCTACAAACTACGGTCCTCTTATCAAAGTACGGAATGCAAGAGGAAGGGGGGGAGTGGGGAGTGGAACTAGTTTTATCCTTCATGGTACTCTAATGAAAGGTCTCAACGAAAGTAATTAATTGATACTAAACTAACCATAGTCTTCCTCCTCGATCCCTTGTCGTGATCGGTTATAATTCCTTATATCTTAAGCTTGAATTGTCAAAGGAAAGTATGTACCTACAAAGGGCGATTGGGACGTATGGATGAAATATAACCATTGTGCATTTATATCAAATGTGATACATATCCACTTGGAACAAAACCAAATTTAACGCCAGTTTCAAAATTTGGTTTTGCGCATGCGCAGTGCCAACTTTCTTATTTATGGAGGCATTTAAATAAAATTTGATACATAGCCACTTGGAATAAAAGCAAATGTAGCGCCATTTTCCAAATTTGGTTTTGTGTAGGATGTGCAATGCCAACTTTCTTATTTATGAAAGAAATTTCGTAGGAGTGTTTTAAAAAAATGCGCTTTACCTGCACAGGGTTGTGCACAATTTGTACTTGTTTTTCTTTGGTAAGTCTTCCTTTCAAAAGTTGTGCGTAAATTCCCCTGTATAAGTAACTTCCATGTTGCGAACGTAAGCTGAAGGAAACAATAAAACCTTTCCTTATGGTGATTTGACAACTCGACTACAAGATAATACTTTATCACTATTATACTCGGGTCAGGGGCTCGGGTGCATGCATGGTTTTCAGTTTATACGTTTGAATGCAGATACTGTAACGGTGCCTCCGTAATTACAAAAGACAAAGGAATTTTATTCCCCACAAAATGGTGGGGCTAAAACAGGAAAGAAACAACGTTATTTATTATTTCACGAATATACTTTAGCAATTAATAACGCGGGAAAAAATTAATATAGGTCGTGAAAAGCAAATTGATTAACGTCACACTCTCATTGTACATTGTTTAATCTTCAAATAATCAGGAACGTTCCGATGTATGGACTAAGTAACAGAAAGATAACTTCCTTGTAATGCACACGACAGAAATATGTAATAATCGCAATCCGTAAGTCACAAGGTTGCAAGTAAACACCTATTTGCTATGTTTATGTTGTACTAATGGAAGGCCAACTATGTAAAGAAATAGGAAATAGAAACGTACAATTGAGGGAAAGATAATGCACTTATGACATCATAAAAAAATCAAATAAGTTTATTCTATAGAAGATATTAGTAAGCTAAGTGTCTTTTTAACCGTAAGGATAGATAAAATGATTATACTTTAACGCCAAGAGTAGATAAAGTGAAACTAATCATTGTACATTCCAACGACGTCTGTCATTCTTATTAAAAAATAACACACGAAGCACGATATAAAATTGAAGTTCAGACCAGTATACAATATTGTTTTGTTTCCATGGAAACCTAATCTTGGTATTTTGCACGTACAGGATTTTTACAAGTTTTATAATGATCTCTGTGACTTCTGCTGCAAAATAAAGTTTTGTATTAGGTATACAAGACAATAAAGGAAAGCTAACCATCTCGTGAATTTTAATTCATAATTCACTTTTATGGTCTTATACAATGAATAACTATTGATCTTGTCATCAAATCAGATTTTGACATGTTGACTTCGGTGGTCTTAAAGAAGTAGCCGAACCCTTTATAACTTGTCATTAAAAATGCGTCCCGTTATATGTACACAAAGGACCCCTAATGATTCCGCCAATTGTATCCTCTGAAATAGGTAATTTGCATCTTCCATAATTTCGTCTTCTTATAACGGAACGCATACTTTGCACGCAAAACACTTTTTTTACCTGCAAAATAAGAGCGAGCGAATTATTTCTCCACTCCAATCAGTTGTTGCGAAAATTTGGACACGCACTGGCGTTGATTTAGGTTTGCACTACCAAAAAACTGAAAAGTCGCGAAGTGTTTTTTAAATAAATTAGCCTTGTAATTAGTCAATTAAAAAAATTCAAAAGGTGGTCATCGTGTTAAAAATTAAACCTAAGAAGATACTGCAGTGCAAGCAAAAAATGATGCATAATTTATTAATGAGCCATGGATGGCGCTGGAATTCGAATAGTGAACCGTATTATAATTACATAAATTAAGTAAAGTCGAGAAAACTACCTAACTAATATGCCTTAATGTGAGGTTACCCTTAGACTGGACACAACATACCATTTACAAGAAGAAAACCGCAATCGTCTCTCGACACGATAATAAATTGGAGACTGGTTTCTGATATTTTGAAAATATAATTACACGTTTTCATTTTGTAATGAAATACTATGGACGGGGTTACAGTTAAGGCATTCTTAAGAAATATGGGTACCTACAAATTATTAACCCATTTACACATAGGCGTTGTTAATGCTATATACTACTCTTAATGCAATTAATTGTTAATTAATCACTCTCTTTGTTCAAAACTTCGGGTCACACTTTCGGATTTTTTGGGAAAGGACGAGGGCCAGGTCAAACCTCAATGTCTCGACAGCCCCCAGTTTTAACAAAACCAATCAAGATAGAATGCGCGAGTTAAAAAAATATGTATAAATTTCCTTTCTGCGGTAAGTACCATCACCATATTTCATGAACCCATCCACGTCAACATATTCAAACATCACGAATCGAACCTTAACGCTAATGATAGGAATTAGTCGACCGTTCGATCCACCGCTAATATGTAGTTTAGTTACAAATTCAACCTTCAGGGGGGTAATTTACAAAATT